CCCCAAAACCCCAAAACCCCAAAACCCCGTAAGTCAAGATTAATAGATCTTTGATGAATTAAGAAATTAAAATTAAGAGCAACCTAAAAAATCAAACATATCATAAGTCGGTTTTTTGGTTTCTTGCTCTCTCTTCTTCTTGTCTTTTAATTTCCTCTTAGCGCTATCTATGCTATCTATCTAACTCTTGCTATCTATTGTAGGCATCTCTTTTTCTACCTTCATCACCGTTGTATCCACCTGAAACATCTCCAACCATTTTAACAAAGTTAAATCCGTAACTAGGAATCATATTTAAGTCCAAATTTTCAATTCCAAAATCTAAATAACCAGGAACCACATTCAGTTTGAAGCTTTTAGAGATAGTCTTTAGGTCAAATCTAGGAAATTTTACAGGGATTACCAATGGTGAAGTAGTGAGTTGTCTAAAGAATTTATTGAAAAAAAAGTTTATTAATCCTTTGACAATCAACTCTTCATCTTCAATACCTAAATAATGAATCGTTTACAAAACAAATCTTACGTTTTGATGGAGATTAAGGATCAACAATCATAATTTTTGCAACACCAGCAGGTAATCCATTGATTTAGAACTTGAAAGGCTTATCCTCTAATTATTTAATATCGATATTCACTGCCAATTCAAGGTAACATCTACGAAATACATCCCAAGCGTTCTGGTTGTTTTGGATAGTTATGTCAAATATGAGAGGAATGTTAACATCAATACGATCTTACTTGAATTCAAGTTTAAAACTTTTTAATTAATTCACTAGCCAGCCTATTTAAGCATCTTTAGGGTTGAAGATGATATTAACTAGTTTTTTATCATCATAGAGATTTTCTAATTTGGTAAAAACAACAGAGGCCTTAAAGACATTCATTTAAATTATCTCTGGAACTAAATCTGAGTGATGTCTAAGGCGCTACCTTAAATCAAAATCTTTTTGTTAATGAAACGCAAAAATGACTGACTTCAAAAACTCATCATTCAATGTTATTCCGAGATATCTGGGTGACTAATGTTTTGGAGCATTTTGATATAAGCTTTAAGTTCCTTCAGTAGCAGTATCACCTAGTATCTGTTAAAGCTCTTAGCCACTTTAATCAAAGAATAATGATTCACCATTAGTGTAGTAATAGTCTGAATCTCTTGTTATCAGATACATAATCAGATGGGATATGTAAAACTATTCTTGAGACCCCCACATTGCGTTATTAGTCCAATCAGAAAAGATGTATGCCATTCTAAATACCACCTCTTTCGCAAGATCTCTCAGATTAGTATCTTCAATTCCGTGTATTTAAACTTCACTTATTAGCTTGTTCTTATAGCTCTCCCAAGGTTCAGATGGCACTAGTTTAGTAAGTACGACAGCTGTAAACTTCTGTTAAGATACCTTTCCTTGGATTGAGTACTAGATAGCCTTTTAATAGGACTCTTTAGGATCTTCAAAAAGAATTGTAGCGTAATCTAAAGATACGAGATCTGCTTCACGATTACTCCAAGCCAGTTTTTGGTTAATCTTTCCCTAGAAAAATCCATGATCCCTGACAAGCCTGTCCATAACATGCTTTCTGCTGAGTTCAACAAGCACAGACTGTGTGATTCCAAAAACAAGGAAAAATATGCTCAAATAGAGGGTGTTTCTCATTTCAAATTATTTCTAAATTATTATATCTTAAAATATTTCAAAATTAATTAGGAAGTTGCTAAAAGGAGAACTAATTTCGTAAAAAAAGTACAGAGGTTCCAGTTTGTAATTGTTTGAAGAGTTCCTAACCTAAAGCATAGACAAAACAAAATCAGCAAATTTTCTCTTAAAGATACTTAAAGAATTGATTTTACTGGGCTTAAATAAATATGACTTTCAGTGGTAGATTAAAATATATCATGCTAGCAAAGGCTTTGAACTTATAACACAAGTGGATAATGATGAATAAATAATCAATAGAAAGCTAAATTAATTAATTATTCAAAGTTATCATAGATTTCCTTTCACGGGGTTTTGGGGTTTTGGGGAGATCGGAAGA